AGAGAAGCCTTTGAGAGCCCCACAAAGAAGGATGACCAAGGATCCATGTTGGGTACAATGGAGAAAACCGCCTGAGGGAGGTTGGATTTTAAACATAGATGGTGTTTATAAAACAAATACAGGTTTGGCTGCTACAGGAGGGGTGATTTGAGACAGCAATGGTGACTGGAGAAGTGGGTTCGTGTTGCGCTTAGGGAAGGTGAATAGCTCGGTCGATGAAATTTGGGGAGCTCGACAGGGACTTATACTAGCAAAAAAATCTTGGCTTAAGCAATTTGATCCTAGAGATGGATGCAAAATAGGTTGTGGACCTTTTTAATGGGGAAATGATGGAGGATCTCTCAGAAAATATTCTGGTTAATGATTGCATAAACATCCTTAAGGAAGGTTGGGTGGTGGAAGTAAGACATATTTGGCGTGAGGGTAATAAATATGATGATAAGTTGGCAAATCTTGCTCTACTTCAAGAAGACATATCCATTTTGCAGGTGCCTCTAACTGAACTTCTTGCTTTGTTGGGAACTGATAGGAATAGAGCGGGAGAGTTGAGATGGTAGATTGTTTTCTTTTCATCCAGTGTACCAAAAAAAGTATCGAAGTATCAATAAATGTAAATCTAAATTAAATAGTATATTTTTAATTTATAATGTAATGTCTAAAATAAATATTTTGTTTTTTTTCAAAATCACTTTTTTAATAATAACTCAAGATAATTAAATTATAAATTACACTTGTACAAATTACTTTTACAAGTGATCAAAATTAACGGATGAATAAATCATAAACCCATAACTATATAAAAATGTTGAAAATCATCTTTTTTCTAATTTCATATGATATAGCAGGGTATTAAAATGTACAAATAACATGACTCAAAGGACACAAGGGTAGTCGGTTATGGAAAGGGAAAAACAAGTCATCGTCTCCTAGTCATTGGCTCGTCAATAAAATGTAAAAACTCATAACATAAAATAATAAATCCTCAAAGCACCTTTCCAGAATTGCATCCCTCTTTTCCGCTCTCATTTTCTCTGAATCTATTCAATAAAATCCAGACCCATTGGTTTTTCCGCTGCAAATTTTCCAAACCTCATCTGAGTTTCTTCTTTTAGTTGGATAATTTCCCTGGAAAATCGAATGTTTTATCTCTCTGTCAATATATAGATCATAGTGTATTATTATTACCAGTTAATAGATTTTCACACTTTTGTTTTCATAAAATCTCAGCTTCACATCTCAATTTCGTAGCTACTTTCAATCAGTTTCAGCATGTGTGCTGGAAACTCTTTATACACTAACCCCAAACCCTGCAAACATCTAGCTGATTGCAAGCTCAGACATGGCTTCAATGGCTATGATTCCCTCCAAAATTGCCTCAAAACCACCCCTAATGGAAGAGCTCGAGTTGATAAACACAACACTAAAATACCCAGATGCAATTTCTGTAATGGAAGTCAAGGTAGACTTTACATTTGTTTGATTTGCTCTTCAATCTCTTGTTCAAGCCACATTCTTTTGCATACCCAATTTGAGAAGGGCCATGAGGTAGCCGTCGACTTGGAAAGATCGGAGCTTTATTGTTGTTTATGTCGTGATCAGGTCTATGATCCTGATTTTGACAAAGTTGTTGTGTCTAAGCAAGTCAAGGACTTGCCTGGGGGTAGTAAAAGCAATGGTTTTGAGGGTTGTTGTGAGAGATCAAGCAAGAGGAAGAGGTTAAATTCAGGGATAGGATTAGATTTGAAGAAATCGAAGCTGTTGATTTCAATGAGAGATCGGAGGGCGAAATCGTGTTATCCGTTGGGATTAAGAGGATTAAACAATCTGGGGAGTACTTGTTTCATGAATTCTGTGTTGCAGGCTTTGCTTCATGCCCCTCCTTTGAGGAATTACTTTCTCAGTGATCGGCACAACAGTGTTCAATGCAGGAAAAGATCTGGTGAAAAGGTCTGCTTGCTTTGCGATATCGATGCTCTTTATTCGGCTATGTTCTCTGGTGATCGGACCCCATATAGTCCAGCTCACTTTCTTTATAGGTATGAAATTAATAATTTTGTGCCTTTAGAACAATGTTGCCTTTAGCACAATGTTTTGATTTACTTGAGAACTAGAAAGTGGTGTTTATTAATAAAGATGTTTGTGTTTATAATCAACTTTCAGCCTCTTGATTGAAACTAAAAGAAAATATGTGAAAATTTTATGACAATGTGAAATGAAAAGAGTCTGCTTTGGTTGTTTGATTGAAATTTTAACTAGACTGAAAGTTTGGTTCGATATCAGTTAGGCCTTCTCAGGGATTGTAAAGATTAGTACAAAATGGCATTTTTTTGGTTTGTTGAGATTTCATTTGGGTAATCTTCAATTTCGTCCTCCCTTTCATGGGTTAAAAATGTCTAAAGATGGATCGATTGCTTTAATGATGGATTTATGTTGTTTTTGAAGTTGGTGGCATCATTCATCGAATTTAGCTAGTTACGAGGAGCAGGATGCTCACGAGTTCTTCATTTCGGTTTTGGACGTGATTCATGAGAAGGAAAGCAAAATGCTGAGCTCTAGCAAAGGTAATAAGATGCTGAGATGGTGTTTGCTTTCATCGATTTCACATCATATGTGCAATTACATTGTTAAAAGGTGGTCACGGTTCTCTATCTCAAATGCTGTTAATCGGTAACCGTAAATACAATTTTACTTCTGGTATATGCATTGTAAGACAGCAACCATAGAGGCAGAATGCAAAATTTGATTAATTTTTAGAGGTAGCTTCGGGTTTTGGTATTGAAATGATGATGTTGAAGAGGCGGGAAACAATTAGAACTGATATGTAGTCTCATTTTTACAAAAGTTATCAAGGGTAACTAAGGCATTTTAGAAACATATTTGGAATGCTAACGATGTTTCTTGAATTGGTGATCTGGATGAAATCTGGGTTTGAAAGAAATAAAGTTCTGTCTCATTGCTGTAGTTCTTCTATTTCACTCATGAAATTGTTATTCTTTTACACAGATGATGGAGACTGCCAATGCATTGCTCATAGGGCGTTCTACGGGTTGTTGAGATCAGATGTCACATGTATCTCCTGCGGGTTTAGTTCGACAACTTATGATCCTTGTGTTGATATTTCACTCAACTTGGACATGAGTAACTTGTCTCCATCTGATGTAACTAACAAACCCATTAAACCAGATGAGAAGACGGTTGTTTCTACAGTTTCAGGTTGTTTGAATTTGTTTACAAGAGCAGAGAAGTTAGGTTCTGATCAGAAACTCCATTGCCAGAATTGTCAAGAACTACGCGACTCGTCAAAGCAACTTTCTATTAGAAGGCTCCCATTGGTGCTGTGTTTACATATAAAGAGAGTCGAGCATTCTTTGGTAAGAAAAATGTTGAGGAAAATCGATCAATATTTGCAGTTCCCTTTCTCATTGGACATGACCCCATATTTGTCGTCCTCCATTACAAGAAACAAATTTGGAAATAGAATCTTTTCTTTTGAATACGAAAACTCCGACAGTTGTGCAGAATACGAGATTTTTTCTGTGATTGCTCACTCGGGAATGCTGGAATCGGGTCATTACGTGACTTATCTGCGACTAAAGAACCAGTGGTACAAATGTGATGATGCTTGGGTATCCGAGGTTAATGAAGGAATAGTGAGAGCTTCACAGTGTTATATGTTGTTCTATGTACAGAAACCACTTTTCTACAAAGCAAACGAGGATATGAGATGCGTTCGTACTTCCCCGTGCAGAGATCTGTTCTCGTCTACAGCCGGTTGTTCCTAGAATGCAAAATAGTCATGCAAGCAAGGCTAGCTAAAGGGAGTTCAATCAACAGTATTCTTTGAAGGAGCCTTGTGGAACAATATCAGAGAAAGGCTGATCATCAGAAGCAGATATCCATATAGCAACTTCCATGGCTACCAATCGTGTTCCATGACGGGATTTTCTTACAGTGATCCTCTAATGTTATTGGCCAAAACAGTGAAGACAAATCAATATTTTTTTCATGTTGGCTCTCAAAAAGATTCTTAGTCTGAATTTTTTTTTCTACGGCCGGCAGTCATGCTTAAATAGTTTACAGCATTACATTGTATACCCCTTGACTGCAAAAGTACCTAAAAGGGTCATTTTCTTTTCATGGTTTTGTATTTTATTTAATCAATTATGCTTCATCCAGCTCTAAAAGTGTCAATGGTAGGTATCTTTTATATTGGATTTGTAAGAATATGTCTTATTTCAAGCTAGAGTATATCACACAAAGTGGCACGCTTCTGGCCTTATGACAATTGGAAAACATAAAAGTCAGATCTAGCTTGAAATAACGAGTGGATATCATTTTATGCACCGGCGACAAATTATTCCACAAAGTATACTATTTGAAATAACAAGTGGCTATTTTTGAGTTTTGCTCATAGCCTCGAAAATATCAAGACAGTCATGTTTCTTAGCATTGGGGATACAGCTTTGCTTGATTATCAAGAGTTTTGAACCAATTCAAGCAAAAATTAAAGATCCTTGTGCCAAAGGCATCATAGAATTATTATAACATGAAGTTACAAGGATGTCACCAAAAGCACAAAGTACCAACCAAGAAACAAAGAGTAAATGGTGTAATAAACATAACAGAAAAACCCCCATATTGATCCGGTGAAAGGAGAACAATCCTTGAAATCATACTAGATTGTTAAGCTTGAGTAAGAGAGATTTTTCAAGCTAAAGACATGCAAATATCATCAAAATACCAACTCAACCAAATATTATGAGCATAGTAAAGGTCGGTCTTTCTAGACAAATATACCATTAACTTTGCTTATAGAGTACAACAATGACCACACAAAACTTGTTCTATTCATCTGTAACTTTGGAGAAAGCTGCAATCGTTCTCAAAAACATATGTGCAAAGTTAGGAGCTATAATCGACCACACGGTTATCAAATATGAGATCTTCTGCACTTTGATACACATTTTCTTTCCATTACCACTTTAAGCGGAAACGATTTAATTAATGTGCCAACTTCTTAAGGTGTTGAAATAGTTTCTGTTTGATCCATTCCCTGTCATAAGGCAAAAAAGCTTGAATCCTGTGATCATAGCTGCAACCAAGAAGGAAAAAATAATGAAATCAATCATACCACCAATGAAACAATAAGTTGCATGCTATAAATCTTAGGTAAAGCGGCTTTGTAAGGACGTAAGTTGTAAACTGTTCAGCTTCCCACGAATATCTATTCAAAAAAAAAATTAATCCATTGCAAGATGCCGTCTCCCATATATGATATATGTGAAGACACACTCATCATTACTGCATGATTGTTGGACCATTCTCAGAATCTAAGCAATACATAGACTTCCCATCAGCCATACGAAGGACAATGTTACCCAGACTCTTCATTTTTACATAAGTGTTTAACATTCGTGCCCAGCACATATCTGGAAATGGGTTTAGAGATATGATCCTCCAATTATATATATAAAAGTAAACGAACAGGACAACTAATTCGAAAACATACTTGAGTTTCAGCAGAAGGAAATAGTCCATTGCAACTTACGAACTCAAAACACAGTTATTCCTTTGGTTCAGTTTTTACATGAAATATTTGTAAGTTTTAGTAATGGTTATTATGATGAACACGTGACTGTTAAGCACGCAAAATAACATAAAACACATTATAATGATCCATTAAAAGGGAAAAAGTGGTGGACAATAGAGAAACATACACAAGGGCGCTCATATCTGCAAGGCCATCAATGAAATTGTAAAGATCAGTAATGTCATAAGTGATGTTTCCTGATGCTGGATTTAGATCTTTAAGTTTCCTTTCATATAATCCACATATCCCTGCACATGCAAAATAGCAGAAACCACCAAACATGCTTTTAAACAACAAAAAGAGTAGATTCAATCTGTAGACTCATGTTGGAACTTGGAACCACTCTAATTCATTGCAACTCGGAAATATAAATAATTTTGGGCATATATTATAGAGAAAGAAAAACATTATATGCAAATTCAAATCTAAAGAACACTTTAAACTCCACAAACCAACTTCCAAAAGGTACAATCCACTGCCTGCGACTGATGCTGATCACAAGAATAGTAGGAACTTAAATCCCAATCCCACAGGCAGTCTAGTCAGTCGAATTAGCAAATACATTTAATAATAAACAACATTTAATAAGGAAAAAAAAACTCCCAAAATCAAGGGAATATAGGCAAAATTTAACAAAACATACCATCCATAGCTTGACTTATGGAATCATAATCCATAAATGTCCTCGTTGCCCTGCTATGTGAAGTTTGCATCAAGATAATGGTGTGCCTGTTTGACTAAATTTCGCATGTAAAGCAAGCGGAGATTAAAAACACACTACTGGCCGTAGTAATCCAAAAATAAAAATGATTGCTACCATAATAGGATTGAGCGTGATTCACACGCCGGAAAGAACCGATCAATCAATCTAACAAATAATTTCTACAAAGGAAATCATAAATCGAGTAGTAATAATATAGCTAAAATTTGCTCGATTTAAAGAACCGTGCCCCTTAGTTTTGTATTGATAATAAAACATTTGATGAAACCCTAATTTCCGGAGGAATAAGATGAAATTAAAAAAAAAAAAGATTTTTAGAAGCAAAAACAATCAATGAAAGGGAAATCAAAGAGAAATTACCATGTCTGCTGGAATCGAAACAGGGGATGCAAGAGAATCTGCTGCTAACGTTGAAGTGATGAAAAACCAAAAGACCAACAAAATTAATCGAAAATAAATAAACTTATTAAAAAAACCAACTGGGTAAACTACCACAGGTTATTCTATTATAAGTAAGTCTATAATTGGGCTATTGTGTTTTAAAAGGTTATAATTGAGTCATTCAAATAATTTATTGCAAGTTTTGTTAAATCTCAAATGACAAATGGTTGTTTGATATGTAATCTTTGTTCATGCAAAATTACGTCATATGCATTGTTTTATGGTTAGATTAGACCACAAATCACTCTTAAGTTATAATTTAGTCATTGTATTTAGAAATGTTACATTCGAGTCATCATTTACGATGCTAATAAAACTCAAACTTCACCATACAATTCATCTTAATCTTCTTGATCAGATGCGTCAAATTAGATTCTTGAAATTATCTCTTAAAAGCCACAAAATCACTCAAAAACTTTTGGATTTTTTGAACATCCATGTCATATGGTATTCGTCTTCAAATATTTTCTTCCTCCAGCCAACAAAAACCTCTTCGTAGTTTGGATCGTCTAATGAAACCCTTGACTTTCGAGAAATGCAAATCACTCTAATCATCAAAAAATTAAAAAAAATGTTTTGTAGTGAAACCTTCTATCATTTATTTGACATTGAACAACATAGTGATATGATTATTTTATTTGAGTAATTGATTGACTATATTCCAACTTATCGACGCATGATGATCCAATAACTTATTAAAAATAGAGTGGCATTTAATATAATTTACCCAAAATTTTCTTTAAAATTGATTAATACCAAATTTAACCTTCTATTTCAATGATATTTACACTTTATTTATTTTATTTTTTATTATTTCAAATATAAATATATATTAAACAAACCAATTTAAGTCGAGTTTTATTCATTTCTAAATAAATTTTATTAATCATGTTGAAACAAGGAAAAGGAAGTATTGAATTGGGCCTAAATAGTCCAGTTCCAAATCATACAGATGACGTGATCCATTAACTGAATAAAAAATGGAGAATAATACACGTGGCAATAGGAGAATAAATAACCAATACGCACCGTATCAAAACAAGCAGGACAGGAAACTCCCCCGCAATTGATTTTCCTTTCCTCCGTTGTTTATTTTCCTTATAACACTCCCCAAACGCGCTCTCGTGCTCCTTTCCCAGATCTCACCTCCAATGCTCATTTCGAGAAAGAGAGTTTCTCCGTCGTCGATATGGGATCTCGATTGAGATCTGTCAACAAATCAGCCACCGCGATGATGTCGGTGCTTCTCTTCCTTTTCTTTGTTCACGGCGCCAACTGTTTCTACCTTCCCGGTGTCGCCCCCGAGGACTTTCAGAAGGTCTCCTTTCGGTTTTCTTGTTTTTCTTTCTTTATTGCTCGATCTGATTTTGATTTCGTATTTTGAGTTCGATCTCTGTTTGTTTTCAATAGAACATCAGGATAAGGGAATTAATAAGTGTTTTCTGTGCTGGAGATGGAAATGTCGGCTTCATAACTTCTTGATTTGTTACAAGTTGTTTCAAATTCAGCTAGGATGTTTTAAACGAATTAGCTTCATTTCACCTAATGATTTTTTTTGTTGAGAATGCACACTTTTTGGTAATGTGTAATTGAAATCTAAGGCATCTGGCAATAGTACTTTATGCTGACTGATTTATGTAATGCAAGTGTTTTTAGCTTGAGATTAGGAGATTTTGGTCTCTAAAGAGGTTTAGTTTACATTCCATAAGGAAGGCATACTTGATTATGTTTTTGATAGAATTTGTGTACCTAATCAATAATGACTTTGACTAAAGTTAGACCGCATCAGGTTCTTGCGAGGTGTTATGATATTTTGGAGTGTTCTATCGAGGAACTATTGTGGTTTTGTTTCATTAATGATTCTTTTTCTGGGGGTTTGCAGGGAGATCTGTTTAAGCTGAAAGTGAACAAATTGACGTCTATAAAGACACAACTTCCTTACTCTTATTATTCACTTCCTTTCTGTGCTCCGAAAAAGATAGTGGACAGTGCAGAGAATCTAGGGGAAGTGCTTCGCGGTGACCGTATTGAAAATTCTCCTTATGTGGTTGGTTTTTGTCTCTGATGATAAGGAGACATTGTTTTTATGACCATTAACTCTTTTTCTTCTTTCTTCTTATTCCTACTTTGATTTGAATTAATGCAGTTTAAAATGAGAGAGCCACAAATGTGCACCATTCTTTGTCGAATTACACTTGATGGCAAGACTGCAAAGCAATTTAAGGAGAAGATTAATGATGAATACCGCGTAAATATGTAAGCTATTTTTTTCTGACATGTAATTTATCTGTCAATCTTATAATTGTTCTGAAATGAAGGTTCTTTTGCTGATAAATTTGTGATTCATTTGACAGGATCCTGGATAACCTTCCTCTTGTTGTTCCTGTTAGAAGATTAGATCATGAGTCTCGCACCATTTATCAGCTTGGCTACCATATTGGACTCAAAGGGCAATATGCTGGGGTAAAACATAATAATCTATTAGAATCGGAACTTTCTTTTTCTTGTAGGTATGTCAACTGCTATGTATTCTTACTTTGTCTGATTACACTCAGAGCAAGGAGGAAAATTATTTCATTCACAACCATTTGGCATTTACTGTCAAGTATCATAAGGATTTGCAAACCAACTCTGCTAGAATTGTTGGATTTGAGGTTAAACCATACAGGTTAGTTTCTCTGAGTTATTGATATCATAAAATTATTAAATGTAGGTGTCTATGGTATAGAATTTGGTTTTGATGACATTTTCTTTCTGCATCAAAACAATGCAGTATCAAGCATGAATACGAGGGGAAGTGGAGTCAGAACACTCGTTTAACAACATGTGATCCCCACAATAAACGCACGGTCATTAATTCTAACACTCCTCAAGAAGTTGAAGCAAAGAAAGAGATTATATTCACCTATGATGTTGATTACCAGGTTAGATTTTCAACTAAAATAATTATTGTTGCTTAATTGCAAAGTTTTCTTACAGTGTCAACCATGCGCTCAAGTGCCTACTATGACATTCATTTGTATTTAAGTAAATTTGGCTGATGAAATATTACTTGGAAAATGTTACCAATGAGGTTTTGACATCTTTTTCAAATTAGGTGCTAACATTTTTATATTTTCTTTTGTTGATTTTCAGGAGAGTGATGTGAAGTGGGCATCTAGATGGGATGCATATCTTTTAATGAGTGATGACCAAATCCACTGGTTCTCAATTGTCAATTCTTTGATGATTGTTCTCTTCCTTTCAGGCATGGTAGCAATGATCATGCTAAGGACGCTATACCGTGATATTTCTAGGTATAACGAACTAGAAACCCAGGAAGAAGCCCTGGAAGAGACTGGATGGAAGCTTGTACATGGTGATGTTTTCAGGCCTCCATCTAATTCTGATCTACTCTGTGTCTATGTGGGCACTGGTGTTCAATTTTTGGGCATGATACTTGTAACCATGATCTTTGCTGTTCTTGGATTTCTTTCCCCTTCAAACCGAGGTGGTCTTATGACAGCTATGCTCTTACTTTGGGTCTTCATGGGTATTTTTGCTGGCTATGCCTCTGCCCGTCTCTACAAAATGTTTAAAGGAACCGAGTGGAAGAAAGTAACTCTCAGGACTGCATTTATGTTCCCAGCCATTGTCTTTGCCATCTTCTTTGTCTTAAATGCTCTCATATGGGGCCAGAAGTCTTCTGGGGCTGTGCCTTTCGGGACAATGTTTGCTCTGGTTCTCCTGTGGTTTGGAATATCAATTCCACTTGTTTTTGTGGGTGGTTATGTTGGGTTCAGGAAGCCAGCAATTGAGGATCCTGTTAAGACAAATAAAATCCCTAGGCAAATCCCTGAACAGGCTTGGTATATGAACCCGATTTTCTCTATTCTGATCGGAGGAATACTTCCCTTTGGAGCCGTTTTCATCGAGCTGTTCTTCATTCTCACCTCAATCTGGCTGAACCAATTCTACTACATCTTTGGTTTCCTTTTCTTGGTCTTGATTATCCTTCTTATCACCTGTGCTGAAATAACCATTGTGCTTTGCTACTTCCAGTTATGCGGTGAAGATTATTTGTGGTGGTGGAGGTCATATCTGACAGCAGGCTCCTCGGCCTTGTACCTCTTCATCTATGCCACATTCTACTTCTTTTACAAAGCTCGAGATCACTAAACTGGTTTCCTGGATGCTTTACTTCGGATACATGCTAATTGCGTCATATGCATTTTTTGTTCTAACCGGTACCATTGGATTTTATGCATGCTTTTGGTTCACAAGGCTTATCTACTCATCTGTAAAGATTGATTAAATGTATAAAACAGGATTCGGGTTATGATTATGTTTGTCTTAGGGGCAATGGTTGAAGATTAAGGTACAATCATGCTCTTATATGTAGACTTTAATGCTCATTTTTGGACCGAGTTAATTGATTGTAGAATACCTCTTCCTAATGTATGCTGAGAGGATCTTGTGATTCTTTTGTCTAAAGTTGTACTGTTTTGTCGCAAATTGCCTTTATTTACTGAACTAAGCTAGCTTTTTCTCGTCATATTCGACATTTTTTACAAATCATTGGATCTATCCCTATTAAGGAGATTAGTCATTTTGAAAATTGAAATCATATGTTGGTTTTTAATAACATATAGATGTACATTTTATCCGAATTTGATGCACTCTCGTCTGATTTGGTTAATTTCTAAATTCAGGACTGGTTTGAGTAGGGTTTGATTTTGGGTTTAGGATGGAAAAAATCTAATCTGACTCAAGATAATATATTATAATTAACTTTTATATGATTAGAGATAATTATAACAATGTATTACTTTATATATCTTTTCAATTTGGTCTATTTAATAAAAATGAATGTTATAATGTATAGGGTCGGATTATGAACGGATTTTTACCAAAAAAATTAGGTCTAATTTTTGGGTCAGGTGATCTTTAAAGTCGGATTTGGATAGATATAAGTGGAGATATGTAATATTAAGGTTAGGTTTAAATGGTAAAACACTCGACCAGATGCATAACCATCCCTATAC